TCTAATCATATCGAAGCAGCAAAAAAGCATATGCTAGTTACGTAAAAAGTAATAATTCAAATGTCAAACTCTGGGTTGGTTTCTGTGGTTATCGTGATCACTATAATTGTAATGATCGCTTACAAAATTTTGATTTTACTAACTCTCTCGAGAAATTTAAAATGTATATAACCAATAAAGTGAAGGCTATAAGCAACTATGATGAACCGGAAGATGTCTTAGGTGGCCTTAATGCAGCGATAACTGAGATGACGTGGAGCAATGCCACTCGTGTTATTATTCATATCGGCGATGCACCACCACATGGTCGTCGTTTTACCAATTTAAATGATGAATATCCAGACGGTGACCCGAATGGTCTAACTGCAGAAAGTGTGCTAAAGAAAATGCAACTAAAAAACATTTTATACTACTTTGGAAAAATTAATAATTCTACTGATGTTATGCTTAATGTATTTCGTGAAATAATTGGAAGTTTTCCTGTATTTGATCTTAAGACTACGGGATATAATCCAGAGTTATTAGTCAATAAATTTTGCAAGGCTACTAGCACAGCCATCTTTTCTTCTATTACACTGACTACAACTTTAAGAAACTCAAAAAGCATATACTCTTTGCAGCGAAAAAAACTTCAAATCAATCCACACGAACCTGATTGGACGACTCATCCAGAGAAAACAGGAAAGCTTTTATGTTATATTCCACCTAAAACTCTAGCCGAAGTTAAAGATTATTTTATTAAGTCAAGCTTTATCGAACAAGATATATCTTTTAAGCTTGCACCGCAACCATTCTCTATCGGTGCTGAACGATAAGCTTATTTCGCACTTGATACAAGCCTTAGACGAGCTAACAAATTAGTGATAAAAAAGTATCACGACATTCCAATAGACACAAAAGAAAAGTATTTAGAATCAGTACTTCTTTTTTTTCAACAGAATTCAATATAGCCACAGAACGTGCTGGTATTAATAAAAAAGTTACATTTATTGATGTAAGAGTCTTATACAATAAGACAGATAATACTTACTACTCTATAGAAAAATATATCGATAATACAAAATTTAAAAAATTTAACGCGAATAATGGTCTAATTACAGAATTTCGTTCTATTCTCGAGGCATTTGCTCATTTCACGTATAAATACAGTGAAGTAGTTTATGATTTACAAGGTGTTGATCTCCATAATGAGTTCATGTTAACGGATCCAACTATACATTGTGTTGATTTATTGAAATTTGGAAAAACAAACTTAGGAAAGAATGGAATTAAAATATGTTTTTTGGCAAAACATAAATGCAATGATATTTGTAGAAAGTTAAAATTAAGTAATGATATTTTGGAAGGGAATTGTTATGAAAATGGAATAGGAGTTGAAAAGGACATGAAGAAGGCATTCGAATATTATCAAAAATTAGCAGATATAGGACACGCT